AAGGCAGTCAAGTTCAGAGAGCGAGTACGCTGAACCTAGAGGCGAACGCTTCTCAACTCGTATGCGGAAGACCTTGCGGCGGAATCTGCGTGAAAGGATGGAAGATGATATCTCTGAGAAGGAAGACTCTTCCAGAGAAAAGAGATTTGTTGGAGCCAAGGAGATTTTTCAAAGGATTCCTCCAGACGATGCGTTCCGCCTTCGCCATCATGGCATCTGCGAGCTTTGTGGAATCGAAGGCGATGATAGCACTAGAGGCCCTCTTGTTTTCTGTCAGGGTTGTACTAGTGCCTATCACCAAGCCTGCTTAGGCCCCAGATCGAATCGTGATCATCTGGTCACTAAAGTGGCTGATGAACAGTTTGTTCTCCAATGCCGTCGCTGCATAGGAGTCTCCAATGCAAAGGACTCCATATCGCCCCATCAAGGCTGTTGTATGAAATGTAACGATCAAGGCAAGATGTCGAAGCCTCTCCGGGAGCGCTTGACACCGAAGCAAGAACAGCGGATTCGCCAGGACAATGGTGGGAAAGACCCGATTACCCCTGTGGACATGACTACTGTCAACAATGTGGAGAATGTGCTATTCCGATGTACAGCTTGCCACAGAGCCTTTCACTTTGAACACCTACCCCCAATTTCCGACACGACCGATGATCCTCCAACGGCCCGCTTTGAGGAATACTCCTATACCTGGAAGTGCCTTGATTGCTCATCAGTTCCCGGGGAGATTGGTGCTTTAGTTGCATGGCGTCCAGCAGACACCGGACTCGCTGGGTACACTGCGGACGCGGTGAAGGAAGTGGATAAGGAATATCTCATTAAATGGAAGGGGCACTCCTACCACCATACGTCATGGATGCCCGGCAGCTGGGTCTGGGGTATTGTTAGTCCTGCTATGCGAAGGGCTTTCTTCAGGTCAGAGAAGAATCTGCGGCCCCAAATGACGATAGAGGAAGCGGTCCCTGAGGACTTCCTGCGCGTTGACATTGTCTTCCAAGTGTATTATTCTGAAGAAGTGGAAGATCGAAGCCTTGAGGCAGACCTTGAGAGGATTCACACGGTGACCAGGGCGTACGTGAAGTTCAAGGGCCTGCCGTATGAGGAGGCGGAGTGGGACTCCCCTCCTGATCCTAGCCAAACTGAACGTTGGAATGATTTCAAAGCTGCCTATGAGGACTGGGTTAGACGTGATTACATCCATATGCCGGAGCCAAATGCACTTCGGAAACATCTTGCTCACATTCGGAAGCAAAATTTTAAGTCTCAGATTGTCAGAGACACTCAGCCTGAGACAATGACCGGGGGGCAGCTAATGGACTACCAGAAAGATGGGGTAAATTGGCTATACTACATGTGGTTTAAGCAACAAAATGCTATCCTTGCGGACGAGATGGGACTAGGAAAGACTATTCAAGTTATTGGCTTTTTCGCGACTCTCATCCAGTACCACAAGTGCTGGCCCTTCCTTGTTGTTGTGCCGAACTCAACCTGTCCAAATTGGCGCAAGGAGATCAAGTCATGGGTTCCCTCCATTCGCGTCGTCACATATTACGGTTCGGCATTCGCCCGCAAGTTGGCTCAGGAGCACGAGATGTTTTCCCAGGACGAGCCAGATCTTCGAAGTCATGTTGTTGTCACTTCCTACGAGACTATGATTAATGACGCGTCTCGACGGGTCCTCATGAGGATACCATGGGCAGGTCTGGTCGTCGATGAAGGGCAGCGCTTGAAGAACGACAAGAGCCAGATATATGAATCTCTCGCGCGATTCAAATTCCCGTTTAAGCTACTCCTCACTGGTACGCCACTCCAGAACAACACGCGGGAGCTCTTCAATCTGCTTCAGTTCTGTGATCCAACCAAAGACGCTGCAAAATTAGATGAAGAATACGGCACACTTTCAAAAGAGAACATTCCTGAACTACACAACATGATTCGTCCATTCTTCCTGCGACGAACAAAGGCGCAAGTCCTCACCTTTCTTCCTCCCATGGCTCAAATCATTGTGCCTGTGTCCATGTCTGTTGTTCAGAAGAAGCTGTACAAGTCTATTTTGGCGAAGAATCCGCAGCTGATAAAGGCAATTTTTCAGAGGAATAGTAACTCTGAAGGCGTTAAGCAGGCAGATCGCCATAATCTGAACAATATCCTGATGCAGCTTCGAAAATGCTTATGCCATCCTTTCGTCTACAGCGAAGCAATTGAGGAACGCACTGCTAATGCTGCGGCATCGCACAAGCACCTGGTAGAGGCATCAGGAAAGCTCAAGCTACTTGAGATTATGCTTCCTAAGCTTCAGCAGCGAGGCCACAGAGTTTTGATCTTTAGCCAGTTCCTTGATAATCTAGATATCGTTGAAGATTTTCTGGACGGCCTCGGCCTGCTGCATCGCCGCCTGGACGGACGAATGACTTCGTTGGAGAAGCAGAAATGTATTGATGAATACAATGCTGATAACTCGCCATATTTCGCGTTTCTTCTTTCCACCAGGTCCGGTGGTGTGGGAATTAATCTCGCCACGGCAGACACTGTTATCATCATGGATCCAGACTTCAATCCTCATCAGGACATGCAGGCTTTTTCTCGCGCTCACCGCATCGGTCAGAAGAATAAAGTGCTTATCTTTCAGCTTATGACTCGCGGAAGTGTCGAAGAGAAAATTATGCAGATTGGCAAGAAGAAGATGGTCCTTGATCATGTTCTCATTGAGCGGATGGTCGCGGATGAGGATGATGGGCGGGATTTAGAATCTATATTGCGTCATGGAGCCCAAGCACTGTTTGATGATGATGACTCGGGAGACATCCAGTACGATTCGGAATCTGTTGACAAGCTCCTTGATCGTAGTCAGGAAGAGCAAGCGAAGACCCCTGACGAAAGTGCACCGGAGTCTCAATTCAGCTTCGCCAGGATTTGGGCGAATGACAACCAAAATCTGGAAGGCCAACTTCAGGACACTGAAGATAAAGGTGAAGGTCTAGCAATCAGTAATACTCTTTGGGAGAAGATTTTGCAGGAGCGTGAGCAAGCGGCGGCAGAAGAGGCCAGGAGAAAGGCAGAGACGCTGGGTCGCGGCAAACGAAAGCGAGCGGCAGTAGATTACGGAAAAGACACGACGGACGTGTCGCCCGTGAAGGTTCGCCACGAGGCCCATGATGACGTTGAATACAAGGCGGACGAGGCCATAGAATCGGAATCAGACAATGACCCTGGAATGGGCTCTGATGAGATGGGCCGGCCCGTCAAGAAGCCCAAAGGTAACGCGGTTTCCCGCCTGAGCCCTGGTTCCTCGGTACTAACCACACGTACAGTCCGTCCCTTCAAGCGCATCACCGAAGAGGATGAAGTCCCTGCATACAGTGCAACTGGCATGGACGGCAATGTGGAGGCGCGTCAGCCGCCCTGCTTTGTCTGTGCCAAGCATCATCCGCTGGGCTCTTGCCCCTTGAAGCAGGCCGGTGTTGAACACTGTGGTCTATGCGGGCTTGCACATTACGGAATAGCGCGCACTTGTCCTCACCTTCGGTCTGAGACGCAAGTGGCAAGGATGTTAGACGCTCTGAAGCACAGCACTGAGGATCGCGAGCTTATTGAGAAAGCCAAGAAATACCTGCAAGGGATTCGCGGCTCCCTTGCACAGCGTCGAAGGATTTTGGCCAGTAGGGCTGCAGAAAGCCACGCCAGTAATGGAGTTCCTGGTACAACCAACACCGGTTCTATCGGGTCGCCCGTTTTCGATCTGACTGGTTACCCGGCAGGCCATGGAACAACGTCGTTCAGCCCGAGTCAACCCGGACAAAGCTTCTCAACGTCAGAAAGATAATCTGTGCTGCTTTCTCTTGTCGTTTTTGCGCTCTTTGACTCTATGTGGATAGGAATGAACTGGAATGGGGTCCTTACATAGGAGCGGTTGCATCAAATGGCGTACATGGGAATTGGAATGGAATCTTTTCTACGACTTTGATACCATGATGTACTTTAGCTTACACACATTTAGATCGGCATGAGAACGTCCATTCGAAATCTATCATGCAAGTCTTGAGCCTCGTAAAGTAAGCTGGCGGGCTCCACAGTTCCAATAGAAGACATCCTCAGTAGTCAAATGGCGATGCCTTATATCCCGAACAATCAGCCTCATTCGTAGGATCCGCCATTTCAGGAAGACAATCAAGATCGCTGAAATAAGACAATTACAAAAAGAATCAGACCCTTCTTTTCCCTTCCAGAACACCGTTGTCCTTCTCAGAAGAAGACCCAGGGAAGGGGGAGAAAAAGCAAAGAAGGCGAGTGGGAGAGCAAAAACTGCAGCCATCCGTTAAGCTGTTGTACCGATGCCAACACCATATGGTCTAGGATGGAGGCAAACAGTCCATGCTTTTTTTTAAGGGACTAAGATTGAAGCTTTTTTCTTCTTGTTCTTTTGAATCCTTGAGTCCTAAAGAAAAGTGACTCCTTTTCTTCCCTCTTGTTCATTTATTGTTGTTCACTGTCTTGTCTAGGAGCTTGGTCGATATAGTCTTTTTTGTCTTGTATCCAGACTTTGGGATAGCTTCATCCCGTCTGCCTATATACTCTTTTTTTTTTCTGGCGGCTGATTTCTCCTTCCCTTAGATGTTTTTCTTGGAGCCGCTATATACGCTGCTATCATTGATTTAGTAGATTCATCCATATTGTGATCACAACACATAGAAGGTAGTGTGCTTCAGCCTCTGCCCTATTCAGCAGTGAATGTCCATCTCGCTTCACATCGCACACAGAACATCAAAATACCTCACGAGTATTCACTCAGCGATAGACGTGAGGAATATCCTGGCTGACCTCTTCTCGCCTCCCTCTTTCTCTCTCTCTCTCAACACCCACCCTCTGCAAAGCATTTTCCTCAACATTCCACTGCAAAGCATCTCTCAAGACCACATCTTTGATAACCTCTCAGCCCTTCTGAGTTGTAGGCCATTCGGAGCGTCAGAGTCAAGCTCAGGAGAGCGAATTATCACGTCATGTCCTCCCCTCTGCGTCCTCAGTTTTTCTGCGCCAGACCTAATGGTACCCTTGTTCCTCTTATTGCTGTTGATGAGCTTCCTATCCATGTCAATATTCGTTCGGCACCACGCGTTCTTTCTCCAGGTGATACCCAGGGTATGACCAGCCTTGGTACCGTGGGCCCTCGTTGCTCGTTCTATGTTGTGGAGAGTACTCTTCCCTTCTCTCGTTTCCAGTTTCCAGTCGATGTCCCCGGCCAGCGTGCGAGGGAGTATGGCAACCAAGGTCAAGGCCCCGCGCCCAGATACATGCCGGATGAAAACAGTGCTGCTCCACAGCAGCGTCTGGCTATTCAGCCTATGTATCCTCAGGGCAATGGTCAGAACTGGGGGATGCCTACTCCACCTCCGAACCACGGTTGGATTGTGCCCGCTAGCATGGGTACTGCTCCTAATGCTGGCACTGTTGCTGGTCACGCTGCTGGAAACAGTGGCGGAACCCCCAGACAGGTGAGTCGTTCGTCAGTCTAAGACATGGAGCAAGGCCAAGACTGACTATGGCGTAGGGCAGTCATCAGAAGAAGGAATACTGTTCTTATTGGATCCGTCACGGGGAGTGCGACTATCAGCAGCAAGGTAAGGGCCAATCCATGACCACAGGCGATTGACAAGTGAGGACTAACGATCATGTAGGCTGCCTGTTTAAGCATGAGATGCCCACCGATCGCTCCATGCTCGAGAAGCTTGGTCTGCGCGACATTCCTCGTTGGTACCGTGACAAGTACAACGTCCCAAGCCTTTTGTCTGGCGGAGGCAACCAGACCCGTGAGTCGCGTGCTCTGGCCGGCTTGCTCGACGACACTGCTTCCGACCGCGGTGCTGCGAGGGGCTCTCGATTGGCAATCAGTGCAACTGTTGAGCATTCCGAGACTGAAAGAAGTAACAAGGGCAAGGGCGCTGTCTCCATGCACCAACCGACTCCTCTTGCGCTTCCAGGCCGCCCCAACTTCAGCAATGTCAGCTCGCCTAGAAGTTCTGCTCACTCTCACGGTTCCAAGCAAGCACAGGGTGCACAGCTTCAGACTTCTAGCTCACACATCCGCAACCAGGGCGGCCCAGTGCATGCTTCTGCATCCCAGAATCGGGTTCCGAATGTGAACAATAAGAAGATTGACCTGCTCTCCTTCGATCCTTTTCCTGATTACACATCAGCCGATCTGAGTCATTCTGGTCAACAGATTATCTCTGATCCCAAAGAGCGTGCCAAGCGTGACGAGTTCTTACGTGGCCTGCATGACATGTTCGCAGCTACCACCGTGCCTGGAAAGACCAACGCGGTGCCTGCCGATACTGACGTCTTCGCAAGTCAGCCTCGCCCTAAACGCGTGCAACCCAAGTCTCGTCGCCTGTTCCAGGACCGTCCTCCCGCTCCTAGTGGAGGTACGGAGACCAATGCCTCGGATGCCAACCAGATTCGCCAGCAGAGTGTCCGCCTCTACAACCTTGCTGCTGAAGCTATCAAAGACTTCGACGATGACGATGACTTCTTTGTGGGTCCCAAGTCCGGCGTCGTGCAGGGAACTCCCAGGTCCTCCGAGTCTCCCCGCCACCGCCGCTCGTCCTCGACAGAGTCGTGCCTCTCGTGCTCCGAGCCTAGCCCTACTGCCTACCTCAACAGCCGCGCCAGAAACAACGACGGCGACGGACGTCTGAAGCCGCTCCTTCCTCCTATCGGCGTGTTCACTCATAAGAACCCTACCGTCCTCAAACGTCCCGCCGTCTCCTCCGACGACATTTTCGGCATGGGCGGAGGACGTGCCAAGTAACCCCATATAAGTGAGAATTCTTGCCCGATTCGCCTGTCGAACGAATGTCTCTTGCGGTCGGTTTCACCCTCGCGTGACGGCAAGCGGGCCGTGGCTCTCTTCTCCTTTTAGTCACTTTCCCCCTACGACGACACGCCAAGCTGGTCTGGGTGGCTCGTACAATATTACTCACTCGCCCATGGTTAAATATACCCACCACTCGATGGCGGATGGCAACATGGAGAATGGAGGGTATTCAAGTTGATAGCGTCTGCATGGATACCAATTGTGGACATTCGTCGACGGTTGGACATCCTCCCATCTTCACATTTTCGATTCCTGGCCTGTTCCTTGTTGTCTCTCTCTTTCTTAATTTCGTTGGGTGGCTTTGAGTCTTCAACCGATTATTTTAATTACGAACAGAGGAAGAATATGAGATTGAACTGCTAGTTTGGAGGTTCTGAACAAAACCATCACGAGGCTTTTGAGTTGAAGTTGGCTTCGACTTTGGCCACGCCGGAATATTGTTCTCGTGACTTTTGAACTTGGGCGGATCTCTTGTCGTCCTTCTGTGTCTGTCGTCTGTTATAACAACGGTTGAGGGGTATCTATATCTTTAAATAAAAATCACTAAAAAACAAAAAAAAAAAAAAAAAAAAAAAAAAAGAGAGAGAATTGCCTTAATGACATATGATGGTTGATTGCATTTGACTTGTTGGAAGCTTTTCTCGGATTCCTCCTTCGTAGTACAGGCATAAAGCTGAAACGTAGTATACTTACATCCCGTGATAAAAGGTGGGAAAAGCTTATGAAGTAGAATATTGTACAGTAGTGTAAGTGATAGTCTATACGACCGTTTGACATGTGCGCCCGCCCTTGATATTTTCAACTCAAAAATCAACGCAAAGAAGACATCCATCGAATACATGAAGCAGACAAGTCCAATCGACCACCGCAATCAAGGTTCTAACGTACTCTCTTCTTCTGGCCCTTGCCTCCAACCTTGACAGCAACCTTCTCCCGCTCCTCAGCGGCTCTGGCGCTCAATGCAGGGTTCAAGGAAGGCAGTGACAGAGAGGCCTGTGCAACGATGGCGTTCCCATCCACGACCGCCCGCCGTGTTTGCTCGTTGAGCAGTCTCTCTCTCCGTGTGGCGGCGAGTTGCTTCCTCCGCTGCTCCGTCATGGCCCAGGATTCGGGGAAGCGCAGCTGAGTCTTAGGCTTGTGATGGCGGAGGTCGAGCGGGATGTCCACGAAGGAATCGCCTTCCTTCGCCTCTTTGATCAGCGTGTTGACAATGTCACCCAGGTATCGCTTGTTCTGGGCGCGAGTTGTGAATTTCTCGCAGGACATGCGTACAATGTCTGTATCGGGGTTGTAGCGTGTTCCCACGAGTTTAAGGAAGGTCTGGCGCTGTTTCTCGGAGAGATATTTGGGGACAAGATCCTTGCTGGCCAATTCGACAACCACCTTGCTCTCGGCTGGATGCTGTTCACCCATATACGTGGTGTAGCGGAAGCGAAGGATGTGAGTTTCAGGAGGAAGGGTGAAAGGTTTGGCGAGTTCTAGGGATTGAAGGTCAGATTGGTATTGAACCATAGTCGCTCAGAAACGTCGGACTTACTGCTCAATAAAGGCATATCCCAAGCTGCAATGCGAGCATATTCACGGATCTCCCGGTGCAGTTCGACCTCCGCGTGCGCCATGGACGTGATTTCGTCGTCATGGAAATCGTCGTCTGCGTCCTCGACAAGACCGAATTCATCGTCTTCTTCCTCGGCCCAAAAGCCCCGGGATTTGTCTGGCACATCCTCAAAACGCAACCCTACTTCCTTCTCTATGTCTCTCACACTCTTCTCAATCTCCGCAAATGCGGCCGCTCGCACTTGCGGGTTGTTGAATTCTTCAATCATCCGACGTTGCTCCGCGTCAAAGGCCTCCCGTTCCTCTGGGGATAGCATATCATACATTGACCGCTCCTCCTTGCTGAGGAGATCTGGCGAGTACTCCGTCACGTCAGGCAATTCATCCTCCGGCGAAGGTTCTTTGGTGATTGGCGGATCTTCCGGCATGAATTTGAAGGGTGTGACAGAGAATGGGCGGGATTGAATAGCAGCGGGGCCTCTCCGAGCGACCGAGAAGGCCGTACGGCCCAGATATCTTGCGACAAAGGCCATTGCGGGCGAGATTGGCCGTGGGGGTTCTCGAATTCCTCCTGGGATTTGGATGTCGGAGATGTTTTCTGCGGATGAACTTCGCATGGAAACGCTAAGCCCAATCAGGTTAAGCGCATTTACTGCTGCCATCATATCAATGCATCACTCCGCAAGCACTGCAACAACCATTCAATCATTCTCCTTTGTCTGACCTTGATGTTGGTCGATAACGGACTTGCATATTCATTCAAAGGGCATATAGCTTAGAAGCTGAAATGCTTCTGCGGCCCTGTCAAAGCATCGATCAAATTCCTTGTCAAACAGAGCTCCTGGGAACGTAGTTTGCAGTCATGTCAGCGAAGCTCCCGATCAAAGTATGCTTTGTGACAGTGGGCGCAACTGCCTCTTTCGAAGAGCTTGTGCGCGCTGCGCTAGATCCCTCATTTGTGACGGCCCTGGAGAGGAATGGCTACTCACATTTAATGGTTCAATACGGCAAAAATGCAGCGATTTATCATAATTTCCTCAAGCAGTATCCACCTGAGCGCAGGCCCTGGCAAAGAATAGATGTCGGTGGTTTTTCCTTCCACGAGCATGGGCTGGGAGGGGAGTTTGCATTGGCTCAGGCCGACATAAGTAAAGGACGAAGTGGTGGGTTGGTTATCAGTCACGCAGGTATTGATCATCTTTCTTGGCCGTTACCCATCACTGGCATCTTCTGATATCTGACATGGAATGCTTGTCAGGATCTGGCACTATTCTCGAGGTGTTACGGATGGGCATCCCGCTCATCGTTGTGCCCAATCCTTCTCTTCAGGACAACCATCAAGAGGAACTAGCGCGCCAGTTACAGAAACAAGGATACGTGGTTGCTAGCCATTATCAGTAAGTTTCAGGTTCTTCTATATGAGCTACAGTTTGCTAATTACCTGGCAGAAATCTTTGCCAAGCACTGCAGCAGGCTGAACAACTGCGAGCGCGCATGTTAAGGTGGCCGCCTGTGCGTGGCCCTGGTCAGAAAAACCAGCCGACACTGGAGCAAGTAATGTCTGATGAGATGGGATTTGTGGATTGAATACCGTCAGCTCCCTTATGAATGATGATTTATGCTACCTCTTGGCTACTTTCATATTGAAATGTGACACGTCACTGCTACTCCTTCACCCTTGGTGCTCCTACAGTTGGAATTGCTCCAAGCTTGACCTCAGGATATCTGGTCCTAGCTTTTTGTGCCTGGTCCATGTGCTTCCAGGCAGATTTGTCGGTCAATCGAGCTGTGTGGTCAGATAGAAGAAAGGCCGATGGCATGTTTTGAGTAGTGGACGACCGTCCATGAACTTAGGTATTAATATTGTTTTAAGGCTTCAGAATCCCATAGTCGTGTTCTATGATAGGTTTTGTGTCGCGGAAAATAGTCGTAGAAGTACTTGGGTAGTAGCGATAGTCGGCTGGCCCAAGCTCCTTGTTGATGGGAAGAGAGCGGACGCGAAGAGTTGCGGGATTCAACATCCCCTCTAAAAACATCTGTTTTGCCTGCATCGCCATTGTGCACGCTGATGAACTAAAACTCACTTTACGAGCTGCCAGTTATAGTCTTTCACATCTACCGGTCTTACAGTCACAACCAGCAAGAATAGGCCTCAGGGCCTTCGTCACCACAATTCGCACCGCCTTCCCCCTACCAACTTCCTCCCCAAGCACAACCCTTCTCCTCACAAAATGGCCGAGGCAACTCTTCACAACGCCCCCATTGTCATCGACAATGGCAGCGGCACAATCCGCGCCGGTTTCGCCGGAGAAGAAATTCCCTCATGTTTCTTCCCCTCGTTCGTCGGGCGGCCAAAACACCCCCGGGTGATGGCCGGCGGTCTAGAGGGCGACGTGTTTATCGGGCAACGAGCACAGGAATTGCGCGGGCTGCTCAAGATCCGATACCCACTGGAACATGGCATCGTGACGGACTGGGACGACATGGAGAAAATTTGGCACTACGTGTACGAGAACGAGCTGAAGACGCTACCGGAGGAACACCCCGTGCTCCTGACGGAGCCGCCGCTCAACCCGCGCAAGAACCGCGATGTCGCCGCCCAGATCATGTTCGAGACGTTCAATGTGCCGGCGCTGTATACGTCCATCCAGGCGGTGCTGTCGCTGTACGCGTCCGGACGCACGACGGGCGTGGTGCTGGACTCAGGGGACGGGGTGTCTCATGCGGTGCCTGTGTTTGAGGGTTTCGCGATTCCCAATAGTATACGGCGGATCGATGTTGCGGGGCGAGACGTCACGGAGCAGTTGCAGCTGCTACTACGGAAGAACGGGCATGTGCTGCATACGAGTGCGGAAAAGGAGGTGGTGCGGATGATCAAGGAGAAGGTCTGCTACGTGTCGTTGGATCCAAAGCGGGAAGAGAAGGACTGGATGAACAGTTACCACAAGTCGGAGGCGAAAGCCGTCGACTACGTATTGCCTGATGGGCACAAGATTAAGGTCAGCCCCCTCTACGGTCAAGTTTCTGGGGAAGGCGAGCTAATCAACCAGGATAGATCGGACAAGAGCGCTACAGAGCCCCTGAGATCCTATTCGAACCCGAACTCATCGGCCTGGAATACCCCGGCGTTCATCAGATCGTCCAAGACGCCATCACCCGCACAGATCTCGATCTCCGGAAATCCCTATACCTCAACATCGTCCTCTCAGGGGGCTCAACACTGTGCAAGAACTTCCCCGACCGGCTAATGCGAGAGATCAAGAGATTGGCCGTGGAGGACATGAAGATCCGTATCTCTGCGCCGGCAGAACGGAAATACACCACCTGGATCGGCGGTGGTATCCTCGCCGGGCTCAGCACATTCCGCAAGGTACGTC